TTTTGATGATTTCTTCTTTCCAAAAGTCCCATGACTTTCCAATTCCAACTTCTTTCTTTCTATTAGTATACCACGTGTTAGCTACTCCTGTTAATATAGAAGTTAATCTAGAACAGATTAATTGATCTGGTGCTGAAGTATCTTCTTTCAGATTATCAATCCAATCCATGAATTTAAAATGGTCATATTCTCCACTTCCTGAGAATGTTGGCCAATCTCCTGGCTTAGGTAGGCTGGAAAGAATTAACTTAGCAAGAGATTTATCTTCAGTATTATTTTCTACATTGGTAGGTGTATCTCTGTCCGTGGTTACTGATTGAGTTCTTCTGATATTGGTACTTGGTTGACTCTCTGGTTGGTGATTATTTGGACTGTTGGTAGTGTCACTTAATGCCGTGGCCAATTGTTGATGAGTATTCCTAGTGGAAGCTTGTAATGCTGTATGAGGTAAAATAATTTCTGGTGAAGGAGTTTTTCTCATATGTTCTTCAATAGTTCTAGTAAGTTTAATTACATTCTCATCTGACTTTCTTTGCATGTTAATAAGATGATTAATTTCAGTTTCTAACCTATTGATAGTGCTCTCATATGTAGTGTGTTGAGAATCAATCCTAGCTATACTTTCTTTGATATTTTTATCCATTTTTACCTCTAATACAGACATGTGCCTCCTTATTGCACTTAAATCAGTTTCCTTTTCCGTGATGGAAGTCTCAAGATTTTCCAAGGATGTTTTGAGATCTGTCTTAACTGCATTACTGATTTGTGGCACAATTGTTTCTAAATTAAGGGGCTCACAGTATAATTTCTCAATTGTTTGTAAAATTTGTGATAATGTAGAGTCTTCTTCATCAGACATAGTATTGACTCCATTCTCAATTTTCTGGCACAAAATTTTAATTTCATCATAAACTTTTTGATTCATTTCTACGCATTTTTTACTAATTTTGTTAATATTTTTAATGTAGATATCAAAAGCTAGGTTAAGTTGAGAATTTTGTGTATCAATGTTAAGAGATTGAGTTCTAGATGTACTAATTCTAGGAGTATTCAGAATGGGAATCTGTCTTCTGGGTGCATATCCATCTGTCTTCTCTGTTGATGGGCTATTTTCCCTTGTTCCAGGTGTTGATAATATCCTTGGAGAGAGCGCGCCATTCTGGTCATCTCCTGGTAGATCTGAGTTCTCCATTCTCTGTTTCTGTTTATGTTCCTGGGGTGACGGGAGTTTCTGTTTCTGGGAGCTCTTGGGGGGTAAGGATTCACATCTCTTCTGGTGGGAGCTGGTTCTGGGGGTTGAAAGAACATTCCTGCCGTCAAAGTTCTGGGATCCCAGCCTTTGGTCCTCCTGAGAGCTAATTCCTCTCCTTGGAGTTGGACCATAGCAAGGAAGTCCTCCTGGCAGTATCTTAAATGGGCTACTATGGCTCTGTAGCTGGTCCTGTTCCTCACGTCCTTGAGCCAGGCTTTGTTTTCCTTCATCCTGTAATAGTATCTTTCGAATTTCTCTGCCTGTGGAACTGTTAACAGAAGATGTATCATTAATTGATTGAGTTTTACTATTTTTCTTTTTATTTTTGGGAATAACTGACGCCTGTGGAAATCCTCTGTCTGAGGTGGTCTCTCTGAATCTTCCATTATAACCTCGAGGTCTAAGGGATAAAGGGGCCATTTTTAATGTTAGATCAAAAATAATAAAAGTAAAATAGGTTTTAATTAAAATGTAAAAATAAATGTAATATACCTGAGGATTTGTCAGATATGCTAATGTTGTCTCCTTGATTGGTTTCAAGTTCAGAGGGGGCTTGATTTTCACGGATTTGGGTGAATTGGTCTTGGATTTCAAGGTTGGAGACAGCTGGAGTAGTGGTGGAAGAGTTGTTTGCCACTAAAAGAATATGTATGAAAGTGTAATTAGAATTTTTTCTTGATAAAAACTGAGTATAAGTCAGTCAAAAAACAATTTTTTATCTTACTGTTTATAGTTTAACAGATTTTTATAATTGGTTTTGAGTTGTTTTTATTCTGATACTGAAAAAAATATGAGAAGAAAATATTTCTGATGTGTACTGTTAGTAAAATCAATTCAATTACCGGTTGATTTAATGTTTTTCTTACTTTTATGAGTTTTATGTATTTTTATAATTTTTTATATGTTTTTAGAGCTTTTTCAAATATGTAGATAGAGTATAAAAACAAAGTACAGTATAAGACTGTGAAGGGTTGAGAATCGCGTGATGTGAGTGTGTGCGCTGGATTCGCTAGGTTCAGGCGGTTAAAATGGTGGTCTAACCTTGTTGATAGCTCAAAAATTGAGTGAGCTACACTCTCTTGAAGTTTCTGGAGGGTCGATGGTCGAAAAACAGATCCGAGGTGCAGTGCGGCTGCGGTATACACTCAAACAAGCTCGCGCGGTGGTAATACGATCGACAGGGCTGTGAAAATCCGGGGGAACAAGATTTAAACTATGTATGAGTGGTAATACAACCTTAATTTATGTATGTATGCGTGTACAAACTGTAATCGGTGTTACCACACACCTGCCGTACAAAAACTGTCAGGCTGTCCTTTTTCAAGGTCTTGCGCACAGACGCTGAATGAACGGTAAGGTTTCGAGGTCTGGGAAAAAAATCTAGTAGAGTAAATCGATGCTTGCGCGTCGAATGGTGTACTCAGATTTTTTGTAAGTCCGCTCCTTCAGGGAGATCGCTAGCGAAAAGCGTCCTGAATCCACAAAAAAGGTAAGAAGAAGGAAAAAAGTTTCAGATTTTAATTCAGAATATTGTTTTGTAAGACAAATAAGATTTTTTGGTCAGAAAAAATTTCGAAAAAATAGAGTGAAACAATTGTGTAGCGTTGAAAAACAGGTATTTTTGGTGTTTTTAGAGATTTTTTACGCTATTGAGGTGAGAAGTAATGAGAGATATGTAAAGAAGTAAGAAAAAATTCAGTCTGATAAGTCTAAAGCGTAGTGCGGGTTGCCAAAGCCAAAATCAGGAATAGTAGTGTATGTAGTAGTATCTTCTATTAATTCAGACTCTAGGAAGTTAAAAGGGGGTACTTCAGGAGGGAGATTAAAAGAGGAAGTGTTTCTGTAGTATTCAGATATGACAGATTTTACTTCTTCTAAATAGTCTGTGTAAGAGATAACAGTGTTGTCTGGCGCGTAAATAGCACTGGATAGAACTGCACTAGTAGTAGTAGTGGTACAAATCCAGTAAGTATCTCTATAAACTCTTTTAACTACTTTTCTAAGTTCTTGCTCTACTGTAATATTTTCAGGATGGTCCGTGTAATATCTTCTGGTTTCAGCCAGGAGGGAAGGATCTATATGTTTGAAATAAATATTGATATCCTGCATTTACCTTTTAGCAGGCCATGATGAATAAAATAAAATAGAATGGTGTTAGTAAGTATGATTTTTTAATGGTAATGGGTGAAAAATCACGAGTAAAATGAGGCCAGACCCCCAATTGTCAGCCTCTATGCTACTAACCTGTAAGGGTTGTGCTCTGAGTGTTAACAAGTATGGTAAGTGGGAAGGTTTATTCGTGGTTAAATCCCTCAACCTGTAAAAGAAACAGGGAGGAGTCAGTGAGGAATGGTACTTCTACTGCTGACTCATCCAATTATTTAATTGGGCATCCAGATCAATCCTCTTGTATGGATTAATAGGCTTCCAAGATGAGGACTTCTTCAACTCACTTGGGATTAGTCTTTTAACAACAATCTAGATTAATAAGTGTATCAACACTTAAGGACCAGAATTGTTTAACCTGGGGGATAATTCTTTATGCAATAGAGATAAGTAGATATGCCTTGAATCTGAGCAAAGTAAATCTATTTAGGTCTAAGGTAGCTGGTTTGTAAGGTTATTGGTGGTTTGAATCACTAATAAACACGGTACAAGTGTTGGTTTGATGCTACTAGAATTTCCTGGGGGGAAAAGGTAGGAATCAGGGCTCCTTAAATATTCTACAGGAGGCTCAGGGGAAGAGGAGAGGCCCTCAGGGCACTAGGGAGCTTCTTAGCAGCTCTACAGTTTCGTGTAAGGATGGGAGCTGTAGCTGTGCAGTGCTATGCATGGGTGGAAGGTCCTAGGACATGAGATCATACATGCATAATTGAGTTTTGTGGCCTATTTCTCACGTAATTTAAAGGGCTACATTTACTGTGCAGGGGCTGTGCAATTGTAGATTTGTTTGCATACGTGTAACTCTGCTTATGCAAGCTTGTGATCATGAGAAATGCATGTCCTTCATGCATAATTCAGTCTTGCATGTAGAATTTGGGCTCCTTTCCCGTGTAGGCTGCTTTGAATTATGCAAGCTTTGAATTAGAGCACAAAAGGGTCCTGATGACGCCATCCAAGAGGGTTATGATGCAATCTGATGCCCTGATGATGTGATCAAGGATGGGTAAGCTTCAGATAAATGTATATAGCTTATTCCTCATCCATTTCACGCTTCTACTAGCTGATTCTTTATACATATGTAATTATTTATGGCTTATAAAATATGTACATAATGTATAAGAATAAACATTGTTTAATACTTTATTCTAATGATATTTCTGTGAAATCCTAGTGATATTATATGTACAATACTCAAGGGGATTTCACAGTTAATTATAGAATTATTAAATATAAATTATGAATTAAGATTAAATGTAAATACATATTTATTTATTTATTATTCTAACAACAATGTATACTATTTTCCAGTATTCAATTAATTATTATTATTGCAGTTACTAGGTACATTTCACGTACTGTGAAATGTGCTCTGTGGCTGACAACAGCTAGCGCTGAAAATCAGTGCTAACTCAGTCTATGGGTTCACTGGAGCGACGGTGGGCAAGTTTCCATGTCTACCAATCTCGATGAGTGTCACTGCTTTTGGCAGGGAGATGATCAAGATCACTAAAAACATTGGTCAATGATTCTTCGGTGGTTCTCGTTTCTTGAACATGCTTGATAATCTTGAGTCCTTGTTTGTATGATGGTTATCATTTTTCAGGAGGTTGAGTTGAAGTACACAAAGGCCAATGGATATGATGATGATGCTGAAGTAATCTACGGAGATACCGACTCAGTCATGGTCAAGTTTGGCTGTTCTGATCTGGCCACTTCAATGAAATTAGGCATGCAACTTTCCTCGATCATCGTTTGACCTTCGGCTGATGTTCCTGCGCTGCCTGTAATGGGTTGACACAGGCGCTGAGGCTGCGGATTTTGTGAGCGCCAAGTTCCAGAAACCCATCAAGCTGGAGTTAGAAAAAGTATATTTCCCGTACCTCCTTATCAGTAAGAAGCGATAATCCGTCCGCTTTCAACTCATTTGGATTGATTTCATCTTCAATCCTCATCTCAGACACCGCCGTTTGTAAGAACTGTAGACCGAATCCCTCCTCTGCCTCTCTCCACACAAACCATACCCACCTAATCATGATTTTATTTTTTGCGGGGCTTGGAATGATACCAAATTAACAGAGATGTCAAGGCTCGTTGCATCAGGAAGTCATCTGCACCGCGAGCGATTGTCCGATCTTCTACATGCGCACTAAGAGTCGTAAAGATGTCGAGGACTCTTATGCCGTCCTTCAACGCTTCGATGGGGCTTGTAGCCGTTTGGTTGTGTACCTCCAAGCTCTCCCTTTCGTCTTGTTGTATTCTTACTGGACTTTATAGCCTCAAACTCTCGTCTTTTTTGGCACTGAAGAGCCGTGTCCCACAAAAAAATAGGAGAGGGTGTCAGACTGACCCTTGAACCTTCGTTCTTCTTTCTCTTGAACTTCATGCACGTTTTGAACTTGGTACTCTTAATTTACAAAGATTAGGGGGATAAACTTTAATTTCAGATTCATATATATTAGGAAAATGAGGAGCAAGTAGTCGAATTTTAGATATATCATGGACAAGAGTCAGAATAGTTGCGCTAGACATAAAAGCTAAGATTCATGATCCAAGCCCAAAGGGCGACGAGGATGAGACTAAGTACGGCATGGGAGAGATGCATGCGGACGACGGCGTAGATCCACAGAGCGCCAAGAGGGGGCACGCGACGCATGACGAGGAGGTAGGAGAGCCGGTTCATGATGTAGACCATGTATGAGCCGCCGATGGTCGAGAGTTCATCGGCTCCATCAGCTCTCCGGATCTCTCTTCTAGCAGCGATCATAACCCTCACTCCGATTGTATTTCTTTTTTGGTCTCGAACGCGATACTCACAGACAGACAAAGACCGTCATGAACGGGATCGACCAAAGGAAGGTGTCGAATGCCCGGTCGACCCAGAGGGGCAAGGAGTCGAGCTGGTCGTTGTTAGACGGCCAGTCGCGGCTGAGGTTGCGGACGGTTTCTTGGTCGTCCTCTTTAGTCCACCCTCTAGCTTTGATTTTCTCCAAGGCCCTAACGTAACAACAAAAGCTGGTCTCAAAGTACCATCGGGCAGTTGCAACATAGGCTTTTTGCACCTCGTTGGCTCCCGAGCTGAGTGGCGCTGAAGGAAGGCAAAGAGCGGATGATACTTGAGTAAGAAAGAAGACTGCATGATTTGGAAATTGGTGGTGATCGAGGCCCGAAAAAGGAGCGAGAGCGGAGATGAAGAAGAAGTGGATCTTATGGGCTGCCACGAGTCGGAATTTATCAGCCACGTGGTCTGATGTGTTGATCGGGTGTTTCTCGAAAGAAGAGGTGCTCAATGAAACCAATATAATCTCGAGTTCTTTAATCACTGTTAGCCAGGTTTCGCTCGGCTCGGTACTCATGGGTACTCATGATCGTCGAAATCAAGGAAGGTGGTATGACGGTGTTGGAGATGTATGGTGAAAGCTTCTGTTTGAGTAATCTTCTCCCTTCTAGTCAGTTCTCGATCAACTTGGAGCGGCCTTGAAGTTCGGCTATCGGAAGTTCGGCTATCAAAGTGGATACCGATGATAAATCCCCCTGGAAATGTGCTAAAAGCTCCCATCTTGCACAGCTCATGGGCACGGTTCTGTACGCGTCGGACAGAAAAGTTAATTTTTGAGAATCACACCCGGGTTTGAGGGGGAAGAAATAGACTGACCAATCCAAAATTTCTGATCGAGCTCGGGCAGATCTTCTCCCAATACCCAAGGATTCTGAATAAGCCATTAGCGATTGGATGGCGCGTACTGTAGAGATCCTCCTTGGCAATGAGGTTCCAAAGGCGTTGAGGATTGATGTGATGGTGATGAGGAAGCCGATGAAGAAGTAGCCGACGGTGTGGGAGTTGTAGATTGGACCAGTCGCCAGGGTCGGTAAGGATCGAGTTTGTGCGCGAGTTGGGTGAGAATCAGTGGTTTTCTTTCGAAGGTTAGGATTGGGCAAACTCCACGTAGGCCGAACCAAGCGAAGAACTTCCAGTGGTGAATAAAAAAAAACGATCAACTTCCGCAACCAACAGCAACCCACCCATCAGCTCCCGACATTCAACCACCTCTTCTCCGTTCACCATGCCGCTCAACTATGCCAAGTGGGATTCTGTGGAGGTGCGTTTCTCTCCCTCATCCTGCCTTCAGTCTCTCATCCTGAATCCTGAATCCCTTCCCTAATCCCTGAACACGATTGCATTCTCTCTCTATGTAGCTGTCCAATGACTCAGACTTGGAATGCCCTCCGGCGTATGTATCATTGTCGTCCCTCCGGTTTGTTGCTCATCTTATGCACATCTGACCCATGGTGTTGTTTTTGCTAACAGCATCAATAAAGAGAAAAATGCTCCCCCCAAGCATTGTCAGACTCATCAACAACATGAATGCAGAAAAGCCGAGGACAAAGCCTTCAAATGGACGGGAAAGCTGAACGGTATCAACATCAAACAGCTCCAACAGCTCCTCACCAACATCGACAAGAAAGGTGTGATCCACTTACGAGAGGCGTCCGCTAAGCTATTGGCTCGGGGTCAAGGAGATTCGGCCAGGACTGCTCTCTTCAGGTATATCGATGACACCCTCCACAGGATCAAGGACCTTCGGCCAGCCAATCAGCACGCATCTGCTGTCGAACAACTACAGTACCATCTAGCTGAACTCGTCGATCGCGAAAGACAACACAAAATTGAATTGGAAAAACAAGAGACCGTCGCCCACGAGCAGCCTCCCTGTGGCCATGCTCATGAGGAATTTGATGTTTCTGTTCGTCTTATGATTTCTTTCTTTCTTTCTCGCTCTTCCTCATTATCGTCATAGTGATTAATCAGCCCAACCTGCTTGCTTCAGCAATGTCCCAAGTCTGGAGCTCCCTTCACTGCCCCCACCAGTCAGCTCAACTCAACCAAGAAAGACAAGTCGACGGGGAAAGACGAGCCAAACAAGAAAGACGGGCCCACCAAGAAAGACGGAAAGTCAACAGCGAAAAGCAAGTTGACGGAGACCACCGACAAGGAAAAGTCGACCGAGAAAGTCAAGACAATGAAATCAGTACTCCTTCCTGGAATCAAGTCAGCAAAGAAGCCGCAAACCAAGCTAAACATTAACCCATCCCCTTCCAAGCGCCCCAAACCTCCGTCGCCCATCAATCCTTCAACTTCACCAGAGTCTGCAGCAACACCGTCCAATAGAAATTGTAACGAAGTCAAGCAACGTAGAGTAGCTCCCTTGCCAGCCACCAAACCTGATGAAACCGGACAATACGAATCCTCAAGCTGCCATCAATGCCGTGTCAAGACCACTCGACCAAAAATGATTTGTGATCAATCGCAGAATCCTAGCTGTGTTGTCCGAGTTTGCTACACCTGTCTGATGAGGCCTGTTTACAACAACATACCCGAACTTCGACCCCCACTCCTGGAGTTTAAACCGGGTGGAAAAATGCTATGTGTGAAGTGTAGAGGTGTCTGTCCTTGTGCTTCCTGCCGGCGAATCAGATTTGAAAATGAAAAACCCCAAAGAGGCTTTGGCTCTAGTGTCAAACGATTTTATGTTCCAATCCCCACGATCGACAAATCACAACCCTGCAACCTTTCCACTACAACTGTTCCACGTAAATCAAATCGACTCATGCAATCTGAACCGAACCCTCCCTCCACAACCTCTGTTCACAGATCAAATCGACCCATCCAATCCACACAATCGTCAAGTTCTATCGCAAATCTCCCCGAGCTGGTAGACCCGTTGGCCTCCCAAACTCTTGTGTGTAATACTTGTCCAGGTGAAACCCATGATCCTCTTGAGTGCATACTTAACATCCAGCAGAGATGCCTGATGCTATCTCAAGAGTCGGGGCTTCAACTGAGCACAAGTACTGCACTTGAGATAAAGGATGATCCAACGGGTGCCCCTGCTCCTCAACCACTCAGCAACCGACAACAACGATTCCGAGCCCACAAGGCTGAGAAGCAGCGGCAAAAACGTCTAGCATCCAATGTGACGTATGCTGGCCAACCTTATATCACAGCACATGTATGTCGAAAGGCGGATCCCACCACCCCGATTCGACTGTTTCGGAAAAGTTTTGTTGCTTGGACGAATAACAGTCGGAAAAACATTGCGGCTGTAGTGAAATTTCACCCGTTCAACACTATGGAGGACTCTCTCAAAGCGCAATTTCAATACTTAAGTCAGCATCTCATACAGCAATCGAAGTTCCAGAACCCAAATAAAATCAACTCCGCTGCTTATGCTGGAAGCATGTATAGTCTTGGCTGGCGAAAGGCTTTTGAAGCGGAAACCACAATTGGTGTTCCAGGTATTTCCGAAAAAGTATCCTTTGATCGAATTGGATATGAAGACCTCCAAACGAATGTTCCAATAATCAATGAATTCATTGGCAAAGGATTTCAATTACTCTCTGAACCTCTCTACAACGAAGTGAAAGAGCACTTTCAACCTCTCGAAGCTCCTGGTCTGGCTCCTCACTTTTTCACTGACCCCGATGGATTCACTTGCCATCTTTCCTACACATTCAGACACTTTGCAAACACTCCTCACGAAGATGATGACGCTTCCCCGTACTCGTTTGCCATGTGGCTTCCCATTGATCAAAACTCTGGCGACTTGATTGAAGAAGATCTGAATGTTTGTGGAGGCGAATTTGTTTTCCCAAAACATGGGTTTGGAATTGATTTCACAGGATTCCAAGGTGTGGTCGAATGCGCATGGAAGGCCAACTCTTTCTGTCATCTAACTCTCCCTTCCTCAAGCCCTCCCCAATCTCCACATAATCGACTGGGGTTATCCTGTGAGCTTCCACGCAAGACACAAATTGCTTTGGAAAAAATTAAAAAAAAGTTCTATGAAAACCATCCGGAAAAAAAACATTGGCGACCTAGAGATTTAGGGACAATGATCGATAACTCCTATAACTATCCAAAGCCAAACCAAAACCAAACCAAATGATTGCCTGCCAGCCCTTGTCTGCAAGACGAAGCCCAATCCAGTCCTTCTAAGCCCAAAACACTCAAGTCCGTCGAATTACAACTCAATCTAAACCACATCCTAATCACATCACACTCTGTCTTTGTGATCACCGGTTCCACTTCCCCACCCAGCTCCTTGTCCCCGACCCCATCAATGTTGAGTTTGTCAAGAGCCCCTTCTAGGGTATCTTGCTGTCCAAGTTGCAAAACTCACCTAAGAAGGATCAGTTCAATCTGACCTTATGTTAATTCATTTATATTCATAACTTTTTTTACTTCTTTTTTTCTGGCATATTTACCATTTTTCCTATTTTTTTCTTTTGTTATCAGGATCAATCAAAAGAAGAATTTATGCAAACCAAATATTTGTTTGTGCATTTCTTTTTTTCTGTTACTTTTTCTTTTATAATTGGGTAATATTTTTTATTAGATTTAAGCAATCAAGCAGACTCAAAATATGAAGTTGTTGAACAAAGGGCAAAGCCTGAAGAACTGTCACCATATGTCTCATGGAAGAAATTATATTTTGGTTGTGTTGACAAAAGAAGTGCCTACCTCTCATTGCCAGAGATGTGAGGTTGTAAATAGTGCCTTGAGTCTTGACATTCAAAATCAAACTGTGGACACTTCGGGCAGTGGCACCTCAAAAAGTGATGTTAGAGAGTTGACACTGTATAACCCTTAACACGTCTGGGCTGTTTTAATATTGTGAAACATTGTTATATTCCCATTTAATACAATTTATTCAAGTTACCAAGAAGATTTCCACTCACAATTGTTTTTTTTTTTTGAGAATTTAATCCTGCCTTGTGAATGATATAAGGCAGTTCTGTCCACATTACTGATGCTCAAACCAAGATCCAAGTGGGTATAAACCCAAATATGCTCATTGCAACGGCATGATGGCTACCAGTTCAGTTAGGTGTTGCATGTTTCCTGCATGTCACACCTACACAGCTCAGTCAGCATGTGTGTATGCTGTACTCTGATTGTGCCTGTGTTGCAATTCTAATTTTTTTGGTTCCTCACTTTTTAGACGATGTATTACCGCTGCCCACACCTTCCGGAGTGCCAGGGAAAGATTCATTCCAAGTTGAAAAAGTCCTGTCACGAGTGTAGGGGATTAAACAGCCACGCAGTACGACAGCACACATCAAGCAAAAATTTGCATCCGTTCTGCAACTCGCAATGTCCTGTTTACGATATGGACAGTGAGTTTGACATCTCCAAGAACTTTTCTGAAGAAGATAGATTGAATTCTGATATTCCTCTTAACAGTTATTTCTTTGGTTTCCTTCAAGTTCGAACCGCTTAAGCAATCCTTGCCCCTGGATCGACAAGTTTCCATAACGACTGATCCGACGATAGAGATTCCAGCATCACCAGCATCCCACATGAAATTGTCTTCTGGAACGACAAGCAAGAAAGTCATCCGAGTTGGTCCTTCGAAATCACAACCTGTCCGCCGTTCAATGCGCCATACTCAGAAATTGCAATCATCATCCATATCAGTCAATCGCTTACCACCCAAAGTAGGGAAAAAGAATACTGCAAAGAATCCTATTCGGAAAGAACCTGGTCTCAAAACTAAAGGCGAACCCAACGATGGTACAAAAATGGTCAAAACCGTTTCCAAAGAAACCACCTTGGGATACTGGGGTAAACTTTTTTTCAGCAGAACATCTGCATGCAGTAAAGATACTAATATACATGTTTACTATCAAATCAGGAAGAACGATTTTCTCACTGGTCTCATGGCTTGTCCCCGTATATATTTTCTTTGATCGTGTCTGTGAAGGAGTAGCCATCAATCAGTCCCCCTTCCAATTTCTGACACATCAACCCATTTGCGAAATCAGTGCTCACTTGCACACCAGAATTGGTAACAAGATTTGTAGTCTGATCAACTATTACTGGTTGGAGATGTTTGGTGTTCACGCTCAAAATGAGTTCTGCACAAACATACTATTCATTGGTATTTTAGTCATAGTTTTTTGTTCAGTTGGGAATTGATGATACTTGCTTCTTGGAACATGAATCCTAGATCTCTTCTGGGAATTGTGTGTCAAGAAAAACATGAATTTGATGCAAAATTGAAGGCCAATTTGTTTCCATAATCTAGATCAGATAGTTTAAACTGTAAATTTTTCTTTCAAGTAAAAACAGAAATGATAATACCAAAATGGACTTCCCACAAGTTCTTGAAACATGTTTACACATTTACAGCAAAAAGTTTTTAAACCAGTATTTAAACCCTGGTTTCAAGTATCATGCTGTTTGGATCATGTAAACATGGTTTAAATGGTTTAAACATGCTGTTTGGATCATTTAAACATGGTTTAAATGGTTTAAACATGCTGTTTGGATCATTTAAACATGGTTTAAATGGTTTAAACATGCTGTTTGGATCATTTAAACATGGTTTAAATGGTTTAAACATGCTGTTTGGATCATTTAAACATGGTTTAAATGGTTTAAACATGCTGTTTGGATCATTTAAACATGGTTTAAATGGTTTAAACATGCTGTTTGGATCATTTAAACATGGTTTAAATGGTTTAAACATGCTGTTTGGATCATTTAAACATGGTTTAAATGGTTTAAACATGCTGTTTGGATCATTTAAACATGGTTTAAATGGTTTAAACATGCTGTTTGAACCACAGGAATACAGGAGCATTCAAGGCTTCACTTTACCACTTATTTCCCCCTCTCAGTGTTCCACACCTTTGTGTGTGCTTGTGTCCGGGTGGGAGGGTGGAGCTAAAAAACCTGTGTCTTAGCTCAGAAGAAACTGTGACAAAGTTTGCGTAGCAGGAAATGGAGCGGCAGCTGCGTTGTCCTGTTTCTTCTGAGCGTGAGTCACGGGGGGCTGATCACAGCTAGAGCTGTGGGAGTCGTCTAGCAACTCCGGTCAAGCAGGGATTCCATGGGGGGTCCCACAGTTTCCGGGTCCTGCATGGACACCGGAGACCTCGGAGCACACCCCTCTGTTAGGCATTTTGTCAGATTGAATGTGTAGGAGGGCGCAGCCGCATTTAACCCTAGTTTATCTTAAATAATCTCATCCAACAAAAGGCCTGAACAAATTCGTCCCAATTGGCCAGACCTCTGCATCAATACAAGGGCTCAGGTACAACTTAATTTTGATTCCAAGCATTTACATGGATCTGTGTTGAAAGCTAACCAAAAATTTATCCCTTTTATAACAAGAATAATTCGAATAACATGGTGACAAGAAAAGCCACACCTTCAATTCCTAAACTCCATCCATGCCACTGTGATGACTGTTCGGCCCACTCAACTTATGTCGATTGCAATACTCAAAAGGAGGTAAAGGGTACTCTATGGACACGCCGCAAGCTCCTTACCCATCTTAATAATCTCAATACCAAGAAAATGCCACCACAAAATGAAAGCAAGCACCCAACAAGCCAACATCAACCAAACGAAATTCCAATTCAACAAGCCGATTCCATATCAGTCTATAATCCTACAATACCCACACATTCCACTCCTGAACCTAGCATAGACGTGGTGACTCCAGAAAGTTCAACTGGTGGGGACTCTTCAGACCTAGGTAAGTTCTTGCTACATTTGTAATCAACAGATTTGTGACTTATCCACACTTTAACATAAATTTAGAGCATGAAGATTCCCTTGTTTTGGGTTACAGCCAGCTTCCCACTGTATATCTCGAGAGCTTGCTTGAATTAGATGGATTGAATCAAATGACAAAGGTGAAATTTGACACCAGTGCGTATTTTGAGCTTCTCTATTTCATCCTGAGATTGAATAACTCTTTTTGACTTGAATACCAGGCAATTTACACCACCGGCTCTTTCAGATCTTAAAGATTCCTCACGAAACCATTGCAATCATGTTGCGAGCAGCTTGTCATTACCTGCTCAACCATGCTAGTGTTGCTTCCGTAACACTTGATTTACACTTGGACCGTGCAATCCTCAGCCGCCAACGTCAACCCATCGGTCGATGGGATTCGGTTCCCTGCAACATCCGTACTGTTCTCTCTAGATTGAATATACAGGCTAATTTACATCGAAGCATTTGCTGCTCAAAGTGTTATACTATGTACCCGCTTGATACCAAATCTCTTCTATGTTCTTACCGTGCCACTCCTCGAAGCAAAGTCTGTGACGAGCCTCTGTTCACCAATCTCAATCAAACATCAAAGCCTCTCACTGTCCCTAAACGCCTGTATACAACACAGTCCTTTTATGAATGGATTGGTCGCTTCTTGAATCGTCCCGGAATTGAAGATGAACTCGATCAATCGACTCAGCCAAAGGACCCTGGAAATGGTATGATTACTGATATTTGGTACTCACCCATGTGGTTGAAGGAAAAAAACAGTGATGGGAAATCTTACAGTAGTATCAGTGGAAATTTGAGCTTTGCCTTGGGGATTGACTGGTTCAATCCTTGGGGCAACAAAGCGGCTGGAAAAATCGTCTCTCTTGGTGCCATCGTGCTTGTGTGCCTCAGCTTGCCTCCGAATCTTCGATACAATCCAGAAAATATTTTTGTTGCAGGTGTCACGCCCGGTCCAAGTGAACCAACAGTCCTACAAATTGGAAATGTTCTGAACCCTCTAGTCGAAGAGCTTCTTGCCCTATGGAACGGAGTAGAATTTTCTGGGACGTGGTGTTATCCATCAAGAGGACGTACAATCCGTGCCATGATTTTACAGGTGATTTGTGATCTCCCAGCAATTAGGAAGGTCATGGGGATGGCTGGTCATTCTTCGACGAATCACGTTTGTTCCTTTTGCAAAATCACCTCACACAACCTGAACAGTCTCGACTCCACCATTATGGTTCCCCGTAATAATGCTGAAATCCGAAAAGCAGCATTCGAATGGAACAAAGCTAAGACGCACGTAGAACGCAAGAAAATCTTTGCAGAGTCGGGTGTCCGCTTCTCTCCTCTTCTTAGACTTCCATATTGTCAGCCTCTATGCTACTAACCTGTAAGGGTTGTGCTCTGAGTGTTAACAAGTATGGTAAGTGGGAAGGTTTATTCGTGGTTAAATCCCTCAACCTGTAAAAGAAACAGGGAGGAGTCAGTGAGGAATGGTACTTCTACTGCTGACTCATCCAATTATTTAATTGGGCATCCAGATCAATCCTCTTGTATGGATTAATAGGCTTCCAAGATGAGGACTTCTTCAACTCACTTGGGATTAGTCTTTTAACAACAATCTAGATTAATAAGTGTATCAACACTTAAGGACCAGAATTGTTTAACCTGGGGGATAATTCTTTATGCAATAGAGATAAGTAGATATGCCTTGAATCTGAGCAAAGTAAATCTATTTAGGTCTAAGGTAGCTGGTTTGTAAGGTTATTGGTGGTTTGAATCACTAATAAACACGGTACAAGTGTTGGTTTGATGCTACTAGAATTTCCTGGGGGGAAAAGGTAGGAATCAGGGCTCCTTAAATATTCTACAGGAGGCTCAGGGGAAGATGAGAGGCCCTCAGGGCACTAGGGAGCTTCTTAGCAGCTCTACAGTTTCGTGTAAGGATGGGAGCTGTAGCTGTGCAGTGCTATGCATGGGTGGAAGGTCCTAGGACATGAGATCATACATGCATAATTGAGTTTTGTGGCCTATTTCTCACGTAATTTAAATGGCTACATTTACTGTGCAGGGGCTGTGCAATTGTAGAGTTGTTTGCATACGTGTAACTCTGCTTATGCAAGCTTGTGATCATGAGAAATGCATGTCCTTCATGCATAATTCAGTCTTGCATGTAGAATTTGGGCTCCTTTCCCGTGTAGGCTGCTTTGAATTATGCAAGCTTTGAATTAGAGCACAAAAGGGTCCTGATGACGCCATCCAAGAGGGTTATGATGCAATCTGATGCCCTGATGATGTGATCAAGGATGGGTAAGCTTCAGATAAATGTATATAGCTTATTCCTCATCCATTTCACGCTTCTACTAGCTGATTCTTTATACATATGTAATTATTTATGGCTTATAAAATATGTACATAATGTATAAGAATAAACATTGTTTTAATACTTTATTCTAATGATATTTCTGTGAAATCCTAGTGATATTATATGTACAATACTCAAGGGGATTTCACAGTTAATTATAGAATTATTAAATATAAATTATGAATTAAGATTAAATGTAAATACATATTTATTTATTTATTATTTTAACAACAATGTATACTATTTTCCAGTATTCAATTAATTATTATTATTGCAGTTACTAGGTACATTTCACGTACTGTGAAATGTGCTCTGTGGCTGACACTTCCTCCCCCTAAAAAGGAAATGATCCTCAAATCATTTTCTCTTGTCTACTCTGTATTGTCTGAGGAGTTTATCTGAGTCAGGTATCTTGTCTACAGGTAGCCATTCATCTTCTTTACTACCACTATATCTAACCAGATATTGTTTAATGTCAGTATTATTTTGTCTAATTTTCCTATGTTGTAAAATTTTCTTAATTTTCACTATTTCTTCTTCTAATGGAGGAATTACTACTCTCACATTATCTTTCCTTAAAGGAAATTTCTCATTGTCATTTATTACATAAGGTTTAATTAAACTAACAGGAAAAGTAGGGTGTTTCTTATCAAATTCTCCTGTGAGAATAACTTCTACAGCATTTTTCCCGTGTAATTGTTTAATTGTAAAAGGTCCTACGTAAGAATCACGTAATTTCTTTGGTCCAGATAAGTTGGTAAAATTTAGTGTGGATACTAACACTTGGTCACCAATTTGGAATTTGTGGGTTTTATGAGTTTTATCCCATCTAGATTTATTATAATCTACAGCTTGTTTAACACATTCAGAGGCATATTTCTCTGCTTTAGTCATCATGAAATGGAAATCTGTGGCACTGGGATGAATGTGTACAGCTT